GGGTAACACGGCATGCCCGGTCAGTCGATGCCAGGCACAGAGCCAGGCAATCCCACAGCCGCGCTGCACCCTCAGTCGCTGGTAGCACCGGTGCACGGCCAGCGCATCCCGGCACCAGGCAGACGCCTCAGCTGCCAGCGACAGCGCATACGACGGGCACCGCGATGCCCAGCCAGCATGCTGCCAGCCAGCGCAGCCACACATGGCCAGCCCACCCACACATGCCCCCAGCACTCACTTGTCCACCAGGTAGTTAAAGTACCACTTGAGCAGGTCGCACTGCCGCGCCCCCGACACCTCCTCCATGCCCACCTCCCGCCGCTCCCCGGCCCCCTCATCCTCCAGCTGCTGCAGCCGCATCACCAGCAGGTTCTGCACGGGAGGGAAGGTACGGGAGGCGGGGGAGAGGGCAGGCAGGTGTGGGTGGGGAGCAGGACGGGAGCGAGGGAGGCAGCACAGCAAAAGGCGGGCTGAACAGCGGCAGGAGCAGGCTGGGCGAGCACACGGCTCCAGCGGGGAGCCAGCCAGCCGGCGCCCCAGCCAGCCAGGCTGCCTGCCAGGCTGCATGGCCACCCACCTTGACATTGTTGAACTTCTGCTGCGGCACCTTGGTGGCGGCCTTCTTGGCGGGGAAGAGCGGCTGCGCCGCCGCCGCCGCCGCACCCTCTGCCGCGCCAGCGTCCGCCCCGCCTGCCGCCTGCTTGTCCGCCGTGCTGGCAGGGTCGGCGTTGGCGTCGCGGTTCTCCGCGTCGCTGCCGGCAGCTGCTGCCGCGCCGGGGCCGGCGCCGGCCTCCGCGGATGCCATCTCGGCATCGCCGTCACCATCGCCAGCCGCCGCCGCCGCCGCCATGTCCTGCTCCTCCACCATGTGCTCCACCTCCGCCACATCGTCAAACACATCCTCATCCCCCAGCTCCTGGTCGGCCTGGTCAACATTGATGATGCTGTTCTTGACCAGGCGGTACGCCTGCGGGGCGGTGAGCAGCCGGCACGGTGGGTGCCAGGCGGGAGCGTGTATCGCTGTGGAGATGCGGCGGAGAAGGCGGGGAGGGCGGTGTGCCACTACCAGCCGTCTCTGGCTGGCATCCTTGCCCAACCGTCCCACCGTGCTACCTACACCCTCTCCCAGGCCCTGGCTCAGCCTCTACCACACAAACACACCCCACACAACACTTGCACATCACCACCACCGCTCAAGGTCCCGGCCACAGCCCACCTCCTTGACGTGCTCCCGAGTGACGTGCTCGCTGAGGTGCAGGCGCGACAGCGCCTCGCTCAGCCGCACCAGCGCCTCCAGCTGGCGCACGGTGATGCGGTAGGCGGTGGCGGTGCCGGGGGCGGCGTCGTCGCCGCGCAGCTTCTTGTAGGAGACAACCAGCTGGCGCTGGGCCTACGGGCGGCGGCGGGGAGGGCAGGGGAAGACATGGGGAAGAGGAGAAGAGGCGGCAGTGGCAGAGGCGGCGCAGGAAGCGGCGGGTGGCGGGTGGGAAGCCGGGGCCTGCCCCGATGGTCCCGCGGCGCGGGGCGATGGCGGGGCTGCGCCGCACCTCTCGGGAGATGTGTGGCTTGATGGCGCGGGCGTACTTGATGAAGCACTGCATCTGCTCCATCGTGTACGGCGGGTTGAGCGCCACACCCTGGCCCTGATGCACGCTGCGGGGCGGGCAGGCGCGGGGCGGGGAAGGACATCAGAGAGGGAGGGAGGGAGGCTTGTTGGCTGTCACGTTTGGTGCTGGGTCACGAGGGGTGGCAGCCCTCAGGCAGGCAGGCTGCCCGTGCAGGCGCAGCGCCGCGCCGTGCAGTCGGCGCCTCCCCACCCGCCACGCCCTGCAGGCCCCGCAGGCCCCTCCCCACCCCCACCTGAGGATGTGCTCCGCTATCTGCTTGTCCAGGTTTGCGTCTGGTTCGTCAATCATGACGTGCAGCAGGTCAAAGCTGCAGGCGCGCGCAGGGCAGGCGGGGCGGGCAGGCAGGCTAGGTACGGCAGGCACGCCTGTGGCCATGCCGGGAGCAGTGGTGGGGCGGTGTGGGCCGCAGACCTCGCTCCCGCACCTCACAGCCCTGACAGCAGGCCCAGCGCAGCCTCGGCCACCCACCACGCACCACACACACACCACCATGCAACATGCATTGCAACCACCACCATGCGACCACGCGCCCGCTCACCCACCCACCCACCGTGACAGGATGGCTGGCGGCAGCGCCACGTTGTACTTCAGGGGCTTGGAGCGGTCGTACCGCCCCGCCACCGGGTTGGCCGCCGCCAGGATGGATGTGCGGGCGTTGAGGGTGGCCTGGATCCCTGCCTTGGCGATGGAGATGGTCTGCTGCTCCATGGCCTCGTGGATGGCAACCTGGGGGTGGTGTCGGGGCGGTGGGGCAGGCGGGGAGGAGAAGAGTGTGAGGGGGGCAAGGCCGCAGCACCTGATGCGCCGCGGCCCTGCACACGCCTGCTGATACCAACCGCGCAGCGCTGCTGCGCCGCCATGTGCCGCCCCGTACCGTCCCCGTACCGCCCCCGTACCGCACCTGGTCCTTGACGTCCATCTTGTCGAACTCGTCGATGCAGCAGATGCCGTTGTCCGCCAGCATCAGCGCCCCCGCCTCGATGCAGAACTCGTTGCTCTCGCTCTCCTTGACCACGGTGGCGGTGAGGCCCGCGGCGGAGGAGCTCTTGCCGGAGGTGTACACGGCGCGGGGCAGGAAGGCGGCCACATACCTGGGGGAGGGAGGGGGGGGGAGGGAGGGAGGGAGGGGGGCAGGGGGCACGCAAGGAGGCCGTTGTTGGGGGGCGGGCAGGGAGGTGGATCCCCACACGGGGCAGCAGGTAGACGATGGCAGCGCCCCGCGGGCCTCCCCCGCTGGCCGGTGGCTGCCTGGCCTGCCAGCCGGCCGGGCGGGCGCCTCGGCGGCTCACTTGAGCATCTGGCTCTTGGCGCAGGCGGGGTCGCCCACGATGGCCACATTGATGTCGCCGCGCAGGTTGATGCCCTGCAGGCCAGGGGCAGGCAGGGAGCAGGCCCAGGCAGGCCTAGGTACGCTCAGGCAGGGGCAGGCAGCAGGCAGGGGCAGGCAGGGGCAGGCAAGGCAGCTGTTCTTGTGCGCCTGCTGCTGGGCGGCCTTCATCCAGGGGGTGCCCCCTCATTGCAGCGCGCAACCCCATCCCGTGCCAAAACCGCAGGCGCAGCAGCCCCGGCAAGCCACGCGGGCCGCCGCCGCCGCACCTCCTTGGTGACCTTGTGCATGCCACCCAGCAGCATGAGCAGCAGCGCGCGCTTGACGTCGATGTGGCCGTGCACGTTGGGCGCGATGGAGCGAGCCATGCGCTCATACAGGCTCTCGTCACGACGCATCTCCTCGAGCCGCTCCTGCCCGGCACCGGTGCGGGGGGAGAGGGCGAGGGGAGCAGCGCTCACATCAGCACAGGCGGCGGCGCGGCGGCCCGGCACGGCCCCAGCCCTCGGCCCCAGGGCCGGGGGGCATGATGATGAGCAGACGCTGGGCCCAGCAGCACAGCCATGCAGCCAGCGCGGCACGGCAGCAGGGGCGGCAGCAGGGCCCATCGGCCCACAGGCAGGCCCTGGGCAGCCCTGCAGCCAGCTGCGCGGCGCACCCTCTGCTCCAGGCTGAACTGCGCCAGCACCTCCTCGGGCTCCTGGTCGTCGTCGGCGCGGATGTTGACCATGCCGCTCTTCTGGTCCAGAGGCTGCAGTCAGGGGGCGGTACAGGCGGTACATGCAGTACAGACGGTGCAGCACGCAGCAGCTGTGACAACAGCTTCAGCAGACTTGGGCCTTGCAGGGCGGCATGCTGCTGAGGCTGGGAGCATGCGTCCCTTGTTTGTCGCATCCTTGCCCAGGCCGCCACACTGCTGCTGCTGCGGAGGACCCACCTGCGTGCCGCTGGCGATGAAGACGAGCCTGTAGGTCAGCTCGCGCACGCCGGTGCGCGCGGGGCCGCTCTTCAGCCCCGTCACACCCTCGCTCAGCCCGCCCTTGTCGCTCTGCAGCTTGGCCTGCAGCCGCTCGCCGGGCGCGCTGCAGGCGGCGGGAGAGGGGCAGGCAGCCGCGGCGCGGCGCGAAACAGCAGCCGGTCAGCAGGAGGAGGGCAAACCGCAGCGCCGTGCAAAACACGAGGCAGGCAGGCAGGCACGCACAGCGCTGCTGCGCTGGCCCTGGTGAATGGGGCCTGGCAGCCCAGCCGGCCAGCCAGCCGGTCAGCCCCGCGGCCCCGCTCACGTCAGCGCCGCCACATCCGGCACCACCACCAGCATGCCGGTGAACACCGCCTTGTCTCCGGGTCGCACGCTTTCCACCTGGTCATTGCGCAGGATGACCTCCATGGTGCGTGGCAGGGAGCCCGCGGGCACCTGCGCCAGGCGGGACGCACGTGCGGGGAGGACAGGCGGGCGGGGGAGGTGGGAGGGCGCTTCATGTTGGTCGGGCCGCAGCGCTGGCCCTGCCGTCCGCGCAGGCCGCTGGCCAACCTGCCGCACCCCATCTCCGCAGCGGCCCGACACTGCCGCAGCACGGGCATGGCTGCGTGGGCCCAGCCACACCAGCAGCCCGCGCAGCGCCGCCAGCTGGCGCCACCTCACCTCATCCGGGTTCTCCTGCACCTTGGCCTTCTGCCAGTCCACAAAGTGGGACTGGTCCATCACAAGCGACCACGCGGTGCTGCAAGGAAGGGGGGAGGGGTGCGGAGGGGGAGGGAGGGCGGTGGGGCAGGATGACGGCAGGGGAAGCACGCAGAGGGATGAGCCGAGGGAGGGCCACACGCACGCCTCGCTCACGTGTTGCCGCAGGTGGCGTTGGGGCAGATGACGGGCTGCGTGTACTTGAACTGCTGCTCCACGTCCTGGACCACTGCACACCAGGCGGCAAGTGGCAAAGCCCCACCCCATCAATGCTGGCCGCGGAGCGGTGCTGGCAGCCCCAATTTGCAGCGCCACCTGGCTGCAACACCCGCGGCCCAACCCAACCCCTTTGCCGCCCCCTCCTGCGGCCAACCCACCCGTCATGCACTCCATGCAGCGGAAGGTGCCGGTGTAGAGCTCGGGCCGCACGTCGGTGGTGCGCGTCACGGTGCCCACAAACTGGCTCAGCTTTCCAATCTTGGCGGAGCGCAGCGAGCGCAGCCTGTCCGTCTCCAGCAGGCCGTAGAAGGAGATCCAGAACTGCTTGTCGCTGCCGTCCTCGTTCTCGGCAAAGGTGTCCAGGTGCTGGCGCACAAAGGCGCGCACCGCGGCGTGCAGGAAGGGCTCCAGCCGGTAGTAGGCCTCTGCGATGTTGGCGGCCAGCGACTGCGGGCAGCGGGGCAAGCGGGCGGGGCGGGGCGCGGGGCAACGCGATTGAGCGTGCGGGGAACCCCAGCCGGCATGGCAGCAAGGGTGCAGGCATTGCGGGGAGCTAGCAAGAGCCGGCCGACAAGCACGCCCAGCCGTCAGCAGCGGCATGTGTATCAACAGGGCTCCTGGTGGGCAACAGAGACGTGCACCAAGCGGGCAGTGGCTGCCCGCTCCGCTGCCCCGCCGCCGGTGGCCACCTGGTCATACTCCAGCACGTGCTCGAAGTTGACGTACAGGCACTTGAGCTCCCGCTCCTTCATGGTGGCCAGCTGCGCCACGTAGAAGCGGCGCCGCTGGCTGGGGCGGCCACCTGCATGTGTGGCGGGGCGGTTCAAAATCGGCGCCCGCCTCACGCCGCACTGCGCATCCCAGCAGCTCCCGGCAGGCTGTACAGCGCTCGGTGATCGCCACCAACGCCCAGCGCGCCGATCAGTCGCTCGCACCTGAGCGAAGGCTGTGCGAGCCGCTCTGGCTGGGGTGCTCCCCATCGTGCTCGCTGATGGTGTAGCTGTTGAGGAACTGCAGGAAGCGCTGCTGGGCCTGCTCGCAGAGCTCCAGCGGAGCGTTTATCGAGTTCATGAGGGGGATGGCGTCCTCCATCCTGCCCGCTGATTGTATCAACCTAGTCAAGGCAAGCTGGATGTGTGGGGGCGCGCGGGGCGCCCAAACTTTTGAACCGTGCTACGCCACGTGGGCCGCATGTGTTCAGGGGGCAACACATGCTGCTCTCCCCCATCTGAGAGCTCCTGACCATGAATCGATCACATGCACGTGACTATAGGTAGCGGGTGATGAAGGAAGCAGCTCAACCTGCTATCGGGCAAGCAGCACAGCCTGCCCCCCTTTGTGCTGAGGGAGCCAATCCTGAGGCAGAGGCAGGGCAAAGGGCACACAGAGGGACGACAGTGCATGTCCATTGATAACAGAATGAGACACCCCCAGTCAGGAGCAAGCCAGGTCACGGGCCCGTGCGGCGGTGCGGCGGCTCCGCCGAGCGTCTTCAAACGAAGAGTAACAGGGGATGGGGCCTGAAATGCTGCCACACGCTGTTATACCCTGCCCATCCGTGGCCCCCATTGCTGCTGTCCTCTGAGAAAGTGCTGGGAGCTTCGGGATGGCGGCTCTGCTGCCGCCGCCGCCGGGATGCCGCAACAAACCCTGCCTGTCGCCTTCTTGCTCAATCCTGTGCTGGCAGGCTGTGTCTGTCGCCCCCAAGCTGCCTACATGCGCCACCTCTCCACGGTGGGCTCCCAAGGCCCTGGCTGTTTCTCGGGTGCTCACTTCTTCTGCTGGGGTCCTCACATCTGCTGCTGCGCTGACGTTGGTGGTGGTTTGGAGAGTGCTGGAGGATGCGGTGGGCACAATTTCCTGACTCGAAAAGTTCACAAACATGCACAAAGGCAGATGAGCCTGGGAACCGAGCGACCACGCAATGCCAGTGGCGGGTGGGGGGGGCGGTGCCGCGTGTCGGATGGAATGGAGCAGCGGTGATGCTTCTGCCCCTCTCCACACCTTGCCAAAGCATGTTCTGTGCCTTCCAGGTGCCATTCATGTCTGCTGCCAGCAGCCGTCTTACGTCCATTTTGGTTGCGACGCTCACTTGCGGAGCGAGCTCTTGATGGAGCCGCAACCCTCAGGAGGTCTCCGTGAAGAAGAAGAAGAAGATGTGACCAAACACGGGTGACTCAGGGGGAGAAACGGTGGCAGCGACTTTCCAGAGGAAGCCTGCCGCCACTCCCTCCCCACAGGAGGCTGTCAGGCTGGATCTGGAGGGTTCTGAGCTGTCGGCGGCGTCTGTGCATACAGTGATCGTCGTGATGTGCGAATCTGCACGTTGTAAGCGAGGGCACTGCGCACAAGGCGGCGAACCGCCGTCGCCGCCTGGCGGGGCGCAACGCCGCACCGCTCGAGAGCAGCGCGCGCTGTGGAAGTGACCAGGCCCGAGTGGGACACGGCGACAGGGAAGCAGGTGACCTGCCACCCCTGTTGAACCAGGTAATGCATCCAAGAGCTGTGTTGCTCCAGCTTGTCAGCAACTGCCGCCTAAAGGCGGGTGTCGCGGCATGCGTGACCTCCACGCAGACGAGCACACGCTCCTCAGGGGTGAGCTGGCTGAGAGAGATGGTGTGGGATATATAGGTAAGGAGGTCTCCTCTCTCTGTTTGGTAATCCGCCAGGCTGGCCAGCGCGATCTGTGGTCCAGTGTTTCTGAAAGCTGGGCGA